CCTCGGCCTCCCACAGTGCTGGGATTACAGGCTTGAGCCACCGCGCCCGGCCAAACTCTTGGATTTTCTACTGTAGTTAAAGTTTTATTTTTAACAGATGAGATGTTTGTTTTCTGTCTTTACTACTAAAATACTGTAGTGAAATTATGGGTAGTGTTCTCCCTAAAAGAATAAAAGTGTTATAATAGCCATCTGCTGCATCTGTGACAGAGCAGCGATATCTGGGCTTGTTGGGCTATCTGCACACTGATACTGTTACTTCATTTTTAACATGGATTAAGAGAGTCTGAAAAGCCCTCTTGATTTGAGTCTTGGTGTCCCCGAAGTAAATGTTACTTGTGGTTTCCCAACTGAAGAGATATCAGCATTTGTTTTCCATGGCTTATTGGAGCTCATAAAATAACCTCAAAACACCTATGAAGAAGCAAAATCATGCAGTTTGTGACAATGCTCAGCCACTCTTGTCCTTCCCAATCTGTATTTCAGTCAGTCAACACTGGGGGGACCTTTGCTTCAGTGCTAACCAAATCTGTACACTTTATGAGAATGCAGGTTTTCAGTTTAAAGGCAGTATTTTTCTATAATAAGTGATACCCTTACTAAACTTGGTGTGCATATATATGTCTTGTGTTCCTTGGGGTAAGGAACAGGAAAAAGAAGGGCAGCAAAATCACATCTGCAAACTCTTGTCGAGACATATTAGTCAACTCAGTACTAATATGTCTTGACAAGAGTTTGCAGACGTGACTTTGCTGCTCTTCTTTACCCTGTTGTCAACTCTGTTTTCATGTCCCCATCTCTGTGGTCTATAGAAGCCATCTTTCAAGCAACATTTGTACAAACTAGATTGTTTGCTTTTTAGTCAATAATATTAAAAGTGTGTGTGTGGCCGGGCACAGTGGCTCACTCCTGTAATAACAGCAGTTTGGGAGGCGAAGGTGGGCGGATCACTTGAGGTCAGGTGTTCGACACCAACCTGGCCAACATAGTGAAACCCTGTCTCTGCTAAAAATATAAAAATTAGCCAAGCATGGTGGAGCAGGGCGGTAATCCTAGGTATTCGGGAGGCGCAGGCAGTAGAATTGCTTGAACCCGGGAGGCAGAGGTTTAAGTGGGCCAAGATTATGCCACTGCACTGCAGCCTGGGCGACAGAGTGAGACTCCGTCTTAAAAGGAAAAAATGTAAGAGAGAGAGAGAGAGAGAGAGAGTGTGTGTATGCGCGTGCGCGCGTGCACATGCGCGCATGTGTGCAAGCACATGCATGTGGGTGTATGGGCGTACATATCCATTCTGATTCAGGACTCCGTTCTCTTTTGTCTGTTTGGCTGGTAGTACCATATGTTTTAATTATTATCATTAGTACTGTGGATTAATAATCAGTTTGGAATCAAATCATTTATTGCCTGTTGTCACTAATTCTCTGTTCTCTGGTTAACTTTGTAAACTGATTTGTTAAACTTGACATGATGTTCTTACTGTCTTTAGTTTCTGTTATTTCAAGCTTTGGTTTTTACCCTAAGAGATGTTTAGAAAAACTGTCTACATTTTCAAGTGACTTAGATTTTAGAAAGTGAACTTATTTTGAATGTCTACTTTTATTCATTGTGGTCATGACCACAGCAATTTTTTCAAAGTGGATGTGGAATCACTCTGCTCAATTGTGGATGACAACAGATTTCACATTTATAAATACGATAGAGAATGTTGGGGAATGTTGCTTTTTATACTGTAATTATTTTTTATACTTTATAGTTTTCTTCTGTCTTCCTTCTCCTTGTTTGGATGTTGTAATACTCTAGAGTGTTTCACATTTTGTTCTCACAAAAAATTTTTGGCTCACAAAAAATTCTCAAGTGTAACCTTCCTCTTTGGGAAGGAATAGATAGCCCCTGAAAAATATTCAGCATTTTCAAAATGTCACCCTCCTCATCACATAGATATCTCAGTACATAGGTACCTTCTGTAATTGCTGCTTTAAATCTCTGTAATAAAAAATGATACAATTCTGCTTGTCCATAGTGGAGATAAACAAATCCCCTTTCCTGTTTTCTCTAAGCTAGATCAACCCAGTTCCTTTGACTTCATCTAAAAATTTAGGTTAATAATATACTCAGTATTGGGTATCACTTAGGTAATTGAAAGCCTTCTAAAACCAGTGGGCTGTTTTGTTTTTTTTTTTTTATTGTCAGTTAAGTTGGATTTAAATTCTCCAGATTAAGAAAGAAATAATTCCAGGAAAAGCCTTTAGACCCATTTAAAATCAGAGTTATTAAAAAATCTATCTTGTTTGATGCTCAGGGTTTTGTTTTTTGATTGTGTTTTGTACTTCTAAAATAAAATTATATGTTGATGTAGATATTTTTCCTTATATTCCTGATTGTAGAATTTTGGTTCAATTTGACCTTTTCTTTGAGCAGTCGAGATTGAGAAAAACGTTTCATCAACTTTCATTTTATTTTTTTAACCCACACATGCACTTAACTTTTTTCTTGTGAACCTTAGAATCACCCAGTTGCCTCTGTAGATTCAGGGCTAGAGCTTAATTAGCCTCGGGCAGTGTCTCACCAGTGGTCAGCACCCTGAACAAATGCTCTTCTGTGTTTGGGTCCTGATCACCTTCTGCTTTGTAAACTGTGGAGCCCATGAGTAATGAATATGTGGCATCTGTGTCCGTAATGACTGCTAAACCACTCTGCTTATGCGCAGCTGACACTCAGTGACAACTGTGGAAACCAGAGCCAGGGCCTTGAGGTTACCTCATCCAGATTTTAATTAAACCAGAGGAAAAGATTTCCTTAAAATTCCTGCTTCTTTTATTCCCTAGCCTGGTTAGCAGAAGAATCTCCCCCGCACCTCCCACCCAACCCCGCTGGCCACCACCACCACATTTGGTAAAAAAAAAAAAAAAGCAGACTCTCGACTGTTAACCTCTTGATGAGGGATTTATAGGAGTACTGTAGAAGGACATTTGGTCGTCATCTGTGTTTTTTTTTGTTTGTTTGACTAGTACCGCATGTATCATGCACACCCGTGTGCATCCGTTTTACAGCACCGTTAGGTAGTCATGGCCATCATGACATTTCCCCTCAAAAAATAAAGACAGTGTCCTACATAATACTAATAATGTGCTCATAAATAAGAAAACTAACGAAAGCTCCCTACTGTCTTATAATACCCATCCTCAGATATGTCTTGAACATTTTTTCCCCCTCAGACCAGTATATATTCAGGATATGTGCCGTTTGTATCACTTTAGACTTAGAATTTGGAACAGTTACTTTGCCTCTCCACCCCCTTTCTTTCTCTTTTTTTTTTTTTTTAAGACAAGAGTTTTGCTCTTGTTGCCCAGGCTCAAGTGTAATGGCACAATCTCAACTCACTGCAACCTCTGCCTCCTGGGTTCAAGCGATTCTCCTGCCTCTGCCTCCCAGGTAGCTGAGATGACAGGCATTTGCCACCATACCCAGCTAATTTTGTATTTTTAATAGAGATGAAGTTTCTCCATGTTGGTCAGCCTGGTCTCGAACTCCTGACCTCAGGTGATCTGCCCACCTTGACCTCCTAAAGTGCTGGGATTACAGGTGTGAGCCACTGCACCCAGCTCTTTCCCATCTTGACATTGAACTTGGACCAATTTGATTTCTTTTAGATTGTCCCATGTTCTGTATTTGGCTGATTGCTTCCTTATGTTACTTATTTTATTTATGTATCCCCTATATTTCAATTTCTGTAAATTGAAAGATGTGTGTAAATGTTTGATTACATCCAGGTTTAACATTTTTGCAAGAATATTTTATGAATGAGACTATATATTTGCCATTAGGACAAGTGATACAGTCTTGTTTTTAGTTGAGTTTAATTTTTTTAATTAAAGTTCTATATTTTTAAATTCGCAGCAGTTTATACTTAGTTTCCATGTCATTCTCAAAAAGAGAAGAATATATTTACAGTTCAGGTTGTTTATGAACTAAATTTTGTAATCCTGAAGTTTTTTTGTTAATCATGTTTTTCTGATTTAAGGTCAGATTTAATCACTTTGATTTTAAATGTCATCTCTCTCCTTTTTCTTTTTTATAAAAGAGACGGAGTCTCATTCTGTCACTAGAGTGGAGTACAGTCGTGCAATTGTAGCTCACTGCAGCCTGGAACTATTGGGCTCAAGTGATCCTCCTGCCTCAGCCTCCAAGTAGCTGGGACTACAGGCTCATGCCACCATGCCTGACTAATTTTTGGTCAAGATGGGTCTTAATATGTTCCCCAGGCTGGTCTTGAACGCTTGGGATTATAGGTCTGAGCCCCCTTGCCAAACCTTAAATGTCTCTTGTAACAAACATTTAAACTGCTTACCTGCAATTAGAGGTGTGTGTTACTCATTCTTTTCTTTCATCAATTATATGTGAGCCTGCTAAGAAAGTCTCACTAGTCTCTACTCATTGTTCACATTGAATTTCACATGTTTAAGGGACCAATAAGTAAATAGCTTTTGTTGGCCTAAAAAACTTAATGAGCAAGGATCACACTGGGTTATTTCAGTGCTTTCTTCATTTTCAATCTTCATTATAGAGCAATGGTGGAACAAAGCGGCAAAAGATATCCCATCAAAATTATATAGCCTATCAAAAGCAAGTTATTCGCCGAAGTATGCGACATAGAAAAGTTCGTGGTGAGAAGGCACTTCTCGTTTCTGCTAACCAGACATTAAAAGAATTGAAAATTCAGGTGAGGAAAATATTTGTTCAAGTTTGCTCTGGACTTAAGAGGGCCTTCATGAATTCCTGCTTTCTACCTATATTTATATATGTGTGCGTATGTGTTTTTTTCCAAAAGACTTAAAGTTTTCAAAATAGCTAAAAATTGTTTTATGAAGATGAAAGTGAATTTTGATTCTGGAAATGTGGGCCGGTTCTGCGTGGCTTTCCAATAATGAGAAACATTAGGAACCATTTAATTCGTCACATGTTGAGGTTGTGCCAGGATAGCTGTTCTCTCACTTTATTGTGCTGTATGCTTTTCTTTGACCACTTAATAGGTATTGGAGCCTGTTACCAGAAACTGCTGTGAAATTTAATGGGAGATAAAAGGCAGTTTATTATTAGCAATTAGTGATTGCTTATTCACTAGGCTTTCACAGTGTTTTTGGTGGCAGACAAGTCTATTTGATAGAGTTTTAAAGTTATCTTTACCTTTCTTTGTGCAGTGATGTTTTCAAAATTGTACAAAGATTCATTTTAGTTGATGCCCTATCCATCCCCATCCCCGCCCGAAAGCATGCATTAGCTTTCCAGATCAGTTCGGTGGCTGTAATGCAGACATTATGAAATAGTTTAATGATATTGTTATTTCTTGGTATCAATACTGAAGTACTATAAATGAGCATTCCAGTGGTAAATCTCAAATCCTAGGCAGAAGGAACTGATAAATTCAAGATGTCCACGAAAAAATCTGGCCCCTAATCTGTTTCAGTCGCTGATGGATATCCAAAAAGTTGACCAGATTTCCTTCTTTGCTACTTTTATGTGGCATAGTTTACTGGTTACACATTTTTCTTGTTGTTGATATTTATCATTGTAATTGAGGCAAAAGTACAGGCTTCCTTTGAGGGTGTTATGTATTCCAGATTGTCCTGACAACAGTATTTCCCTTGGTTGAACTCGTGGCTCTGAAAATAAGCATGTTGGCATAATATCTTTACTCTGTTATTGTACCTTTTACATCTAAGAAACCCTGTTTCTATCACCAGCTTTCTGCCTGTCATTGGGAAACGTCGAACATTAAAAACCTTTAAATTACAAATAGAACCCCTGTGCATAAAGACATTTTTTAAAGTCTGTGCTGCTTTTATTATGGACTACCATTTTAAAGAATAAACCAGAAGTCAGCAGAAATAACCCTTCTATATGAGAGCATGTTACCTGCATGAATGAGCGGCTAGAAGACAGCAGCTGTTCACACAGCCCCCAGATGTGCTCTTCTTAAATGGCTCTCTCATTTCCCACTCTTGCTTCAGGAACCACTGCAGACCAGAGTGAAAGAAGGGGCAGTGAAATGTCACTTCCTCTTGCTACATAGTCATGGTTACTTGTAAAACTTCAACTAGATATGAGCCTATTTGCCTGGTAGCCTGGATAGCACTGGAGTTTGTGGTGGGCATGAACGTGATCCTCAGTGGTGGTGGTGGGTGATTTTCTTAAGGCATGTAATTCATGTTTTAGTGTTTGATGGAGCCTTTCCTCTGGGGATACTGCATTTCTTAGTTAATAGGATAACAGCCTTTGCAAATCTTTAAGTGTTTGTTTCTAGACATATCTACCATATATAGTTGCTTGAAACCTTTCAAAGCTTGCTGTGTCTAATTACTAATTCATCTACCTTTGATTGCATGAAGTTAATGAAGTACAATTTGTTCATCTCCTTTCTCAAAAGATGTACAGTGTTTAATTGTATTATTTCATTTTCCCAAAGATAGATCTTTAGTGGGTGGGTGGTAGTGCCTGCCTGAGAAAGTAGAACATTTTGGCACAGAAGTGAAATGGCTGGCAGCTGAGGCGATTGCTTCTGTATTTTCTTATTTCAGCCCCACCCACCATCGCAAGCAGAGGAGAGCCCCTCCCTGAGAGCAACAGGGTTTTCATGGTTCCTGTTACACTCCATAGACCAGGAATGCCACGCCTGCTTGTTAATGCAGACTCTATCATGCTCTTTATACTCAGGCATTCTCCTAGCACTTAGAGTTTATGGAGTATTTTCCCATAGGCCTCCCTGCCTTGGTTGGCCTGTTCCATCTCCTATCATCTTTCATAGTGCCTCTTCTGTGAAACCTATCTTGGCCCCTTTCATGGAACAGACTGTCCCCCAGTGCTCCCTAGATCCTGCACATACCTTCTGCTGCCATCCTCACAACTTTGATTTGACCTCACTCCTGGGAACCCCTCCAGGGTGGGATTACTCGCTTTTATATTATCAGCATCTAAAACAGTAGTTGACACATGGTACCTTTTTAATAAATGCTTCATCAGTTGTTGGCATCATCTTCAATGTCCTTGTCCCTTCTCAGAATATAATGTGTTAACGTCAGCACCTCAGTTGTGGCACTTCTATCTAGAGATACTTGTCCAGTTTCATAGGGTAGTACAAAAGCACTTAGTATTTAAGGGCATAAAGAAGCATTTCTACCGTCCAGCAGCTGTGATATTATACACATCCACTGTAGCTCTGCTTGATCGTCATGGTTGCAGAACATTTGCTGCTGTAGGGCTGGATATGCCCCTGCTTCATGTTTGCATGCTGAGCTGGCTTTCATAGAACTGTCCTGTCGGTATTTCCTGCTTATTGCTTCATGAAGACCATTGATGATGCCAGTGTACTTTTCATTGCTAGCCACCGATCTCTGCTTAGGTCATCTGGTGCTGTTAGTCTTTTGAGAAATCAGGTAAGATTTTGTCTCAGCAGTTAGGGAGGGGGCCAGTGCTGTTATCCTTGTTCTTATTTGTCTTTGGTGCCATCATTAAAATCACTTTTCTGGTCTCCAGCACCCTGGCCTGTCAAGCTCTTGGGCCCTGTTACACACACAGTTCAGGGTTGATTTGTGAGGCTCCTTTTGTCTTTCCACATCCAAAGAGTAGAGTGCAGGAAAGGGCAGAATGGTTTTCTCATGACATATGGATGTTGGCATAATATAAGATACGCGTAATAGAATACATTTTATGGGTAAGTTAAAAAGCATACTAAAGTGAATACTCTCTACCAAGTTAAGAATTGAAACAGTGTTTTTGAAGATTACCTGTGTTTGCCTCTAGCCCAACTTATGCTTACTCTTCAGAGGTAAACAGCACCCAGAAATGATAAAATTTAAAAAACGAACCTTTCTGAATTTATAAAAACATTTAAATATTATGTATACCAGTATTTCAGAATGTGTTTATTTATTTTTATTTATTTATTTATTTTTTGAGACAATGTCTTGCTTTGTTGCCCTGGCTGAAGTGCAGTGGTGCAATCTTGGCTCACTGCAACATCTGCTTCCCAGGTTCAAGTGATTCTCCCGCATTAGCCTCCCAAGTACGTGGGACCACAGGCGTGTGCCACCGTACCCAGCTAATTTTTGTATTTTTAGTAGAGATAGGGTTTCACCATGTTGGCCAGGCTGGTCTTGAGCTCCTGACCTCAGGTCATCTGCCCACCTTGGCCTCCAAAAGTGCTGGGATTACAGGCATGAGCCACCACACTCATCCTGGAATGTATTTAATTTTTAACACCTAGCCAGAACTAGGGTGGGGCATATGGTCCCTACCCTTCAGAAATTCATATTTTGTTTCCTAGAGACAAGTCTCAATCTAAGAATATGTGACAGTTCTAAGGGCTGAATTATATACCCCAGGCCATTTGCTAAAGGAATAGGAACAAAAGAGAGAATTTAAAGATGGTTTTAAGAAAGAGTTTTGGGTCAGGTCCAGTGGCAATCCCTGCACTTTGGGTGGCTGAGACAGGAGGATTGCTTGATTCTAAGAGTTTGAGACCAGCCTGGGCAACGTAGCAAGACTTCATGTCTACAAAAAAATTAAAAATCAGCCAGACATGGTGGTACACATGTGTAGTCCCAGCTACTCAGGAGGCTTAGGTGGGAGGATCAAGGCTGCAGTGAGCCATGATTGCACCACTGCACTCCAGCCTGGGTGACAGATGAGACCCTGTCCCAACAAAAAAGAAAAGAAAGGATTTTGACTTGACTTGTTTATGAAAGGGTATGGGGCCTGGGAATGGTGGTGTGAGAGTGATGATCTTGCCCAAGCCTCAGAGTAGCCATCAGCCCAGCCCCACTTTTTACTCATTTTATTTCCCCACACCTCCACCCTTGGAAAGCTGGTATGGTAAGGAACAAATACATCTATGTATATAATTGTTTCCCAGTACGCTACCAGACCTCCTAAGGATGTTTCCAGATTCGTCGGGGGATGATAGCCTCAGTGGGAGTATAAGTAGGTTGACTGTAAGCAATAGTGGTTTTGTACTCTGAAGCCTTTTTGTTTGTGTTTTAAAAATCTGTGCATAATTTATTCAAATAGGGTATAAGTCTCAGTATTTTGCATTTGTCTCTTTTATATTGGCACAGATCATGCATGCATTTTCAGTTGCTCCTTTTGACCAGAATTTGTCGATTGATGGAAAGATTTTAAGTGATGACTGTGCCACCCTAGGCACCCTTGGCGTCATTCCTGAATCTGTCATTTTATTAAAGGTAAGCAAACAGCTCCTTAGCCTCAAGGTTTTAAATGTTGCATAAGTGTGTGTAAACTGTGTGAAATGGTGGTTAAAGGATGTCTTGGGTCTTCAGCAGAGGGTAGTGGTAAATGACTGCTGTGAGTTTTTGCAGCTCAGCCCAGCTCTGGCCGAGCCCCAAGAGACTTAGAGGAGGTCAGAACATCATCAGATCTGGTTCTTATGTGTTACAGTAGGTGCTGTTAATGCCACAACATCAGCAACTGCTCGTATCCTGAGAAGGTGAAAGTGAAGGCTTTTCTTAGCCTTTCCTGGATCACCTAGTTCAGTTTCTATGCCTTTGTGGGATTTCCTGTTCCCTAGTAGGGCAGGGCAGTCGTATAAATCACACTCAGCAACTGCTAAGCCCCACACCTGATTTTTCCTGTTTGATTTTCTGTCATAAGTGCCCCAGTTCCTCTCCAGATACCAACCTAGTTTCCATTCCCCTCAGACTGGAAGGAAGGGAGTCATGTTGGGTTGTGGCCCTCTGAGCACTGAGGATTGACTGTCATTTCAAGGTGAAAAGCTGAGTGATCTGGTCTCAGGTCACCAAGTTTCTGTGATGTCCCTTCCCCAATGCCCTTCACCCCCCGCCCTTTTTTTTTTTTTTTTTCCCTTTTTTTTGACTAGATGGATCTGTTCTTAACACCACACTAATGATACTGATGTTTGCAACTTAATTTGAAATGCTGCCCCACCAAAAAAAATAATGATAAAAAGGTACAAGATAGACTTGTGACCAGTGTGAATAGTAACTTATTTTATACTTTAAAATCTATCTCTGCTGAGATTTTCATAGTTTTTGTTAAAAGTAGATTCGACCTCCTCCCTAACCTTTTCCCTAACTTCCAGTTCAGCAGAATTACTTAACCATACTTCGTAGTATTGAAGCATCTCCTCTTTTCCTTTTGGTTCAAAAGTACTAGCCAGCCAAGGTAGGAAACAAGGGTAAAACACAAGGCTCCATCGCAGCAGTCAAAATACACAACTTAATGGGGTTCTTGTCTTGGGTATGGAAATTGGTTTTGGATTTAGTAAATGTGGAAGATGATTTAGAAAGTAGGGGCTTCTAAGACATTGTCAACGAAAAGTCATTGAGGCTCGGTGCAGTGGCTCATGCCTGTAATCCCAGCACTTTGAGAGGCCAAGGCGAGTGGATCACCTGAGGTCCAGAGTTTCGGAGCAGCCTGGCCAACATGGTAAAACCCCGTCTCTAAAAATACAAAAAAATTAGCTGGGCACGGTGGCGTGCGTCTGTAGTCCCAGCTACTCAGGAGGCTAAGGCAGGAGAATTGCTTGAACCTGGGAGGTTGAGGTTGCAGTGAGCTGAGATAGCACCACTGCACTCCAGCCTAGGTGACAGAGTGAGACTCCGTCTCAAAAAAGAAGAAAAAGGCATTGAACCAGCCTCATTTGCCCAATTTGTACCCTCCCTAAAGGCCTAGTCACTTCCCATTGTCTCTTTTGTTTCTTCTTGGCCAAAAGAATCCTTACTATGCCAAATACCACCACATCGTGTGGTAGAATAATTGGTCAGGTTTTTTATTTTGAACTGTCAAAATGTGTGCTTTTCAAACCCTGGAGCCCCAGTTCTGGTGTGATAAAGTCAGGCCCTGGAATGATGAGGCAGACCCATACCTACCCCATCCATGCACACACACCCCTCTTTCCACCACCTACCCCCTCCCTCTGTTTAACGTTCTGCGTTTCCTGGAACTGTAGGTTCTGTGACATGGTTTTGAAAACATGTTGAGTTGCTAGATCCTAATGATCCTGTCTAAAATCCTAGAAACAGCCTGTATTGTTGAAGGGTTTGTACTTCACATGGGCAGCTAGAGTCTGTACTGGTCATTGGCCTTGTTATCCTTGCAGCTAACCTCATCATAAGCTCAGACATAAGCTTCCTCCTAAAAAGGAAATAGGTATCTTGTTCTTGCTGAAGTGGGACAAAATTAAAATTTTAACATAATTGGTATTCTGAGCGTACCAGTCTAACTTTATTTCTACCCTGCACTGCCACTACCAGTGGCTTAACTCACGTTGGTTAAATCAGTCTTTAGTAACCCCAGGGGGCCTAAATATTTCCATGTCTAAATGGGTCTTTAAGAGTGGGAAAACAGTCTCCCCTGCCTTTCCTCTTCTCACACACAGTATACCATTTCTGAGGTGTTGATTCTAGACCCATAGCCAACGGGGCACCTGGACATCACTGGCTGTGGCTTGAATTGAGTTCTCTGCTGGAACAGTTTGTTTGTGTCTTATAGCAATATCAGTATTTGAATCATGGGCCATACTTCCAATTTCAGACTCCCACTCCCTTGTGGTTTTGAATTGTCTTCATTTGTTTTCTAGGCTGATGAACCAATTGCAGATTATGCTGCAATGGATGATGTCATGCAAGGTAAAGATGAATTCATTTTAGGAATCTGCTGGTTAGGTGTTAGAAGGAGGTGGGATTTTACATATTGGAGCGTTAGTGTACAGTGCTTTTACTTTTAACCTTGAAAAAAGCTTCCACATGTTGTTAAGGTGGAATACATTGTTTGTCTTAAAAGATCATAGAAAGGAGGGAACGATAGCTACAAAAACTTGAGAAGCTAACCTGAGGAAGCTGAAATAAATGTCAGCCTGCTGATGGGGGAGGTCAACAAGAAGCAAAGCCAAGTCGAATTGCAGTGCACCACACAGGCACACACAAATTAGAGGCCCAGGTACCTCTGAAGGTGAGAATGAGGTGTGAGCCTAAAAACAAGATAACACGATACTTCTTTGCAAAACCGTGTAAGAAGCAGTTGGACAGCTCCCTATCCGTCTCATCCTTGTCACTTACCATCCCCACCTGGACCTCAGATGGGCACTCAGAATTATGTGTTTCCACACTTGCAAAAATTAAACTAGAAAGGTGGGAACAAAGCCTAAACCAAATAGAAGACCACCTCCCAGCCCTTTGCTCAAATTTGGGCAGCCCATTACCCTCTGGATGGGAAGGGATTTCTCTCCTGGGAAACTAGCCGAGTCAAGAAAATAACCAATGGATGTAAAAAGTCTGGTTCTGTATGATCAAGTTGGATTTCTTGCACCATAGGGATGCAAGGATGGTTCAACATATACAAATCAATATATCACATCAGCAGAATGAAAGACAAAAATAATATGATTATCTTAATAGACAAAGAAAAAGTAAAAGCATGCAATATTGGAAAAGAGCAAGTCGAATGGTCTCTCTTTGCAGATGACTTTTTTGTTTTGTTTTGTTTTGTTTTGTTTTTGAAACAGAGTCTCTCTGTTGCCCAGGCTGGAGTGCAATGTCACGATCTCAGCTCACTACAGCCACCACTTCCTGGGTTCAAGCAATTCTCATGCCTCAGCCTCCCAAGTAGCTAGGACTATTGGCACACGCCACAACGCCCAGCTACTTTTTTACTAGAGACTGGGTTTTGCCATATTGGCCAGGCTGGTCTCCAACTCCTGGCCTCAAGTGATCCGCCCACCTGGGTCTCCCAAAATGCTAGGCTTACAGGTGTAAGCCACCATGCTGGGCCAACATGATCTTATATATGTAGAAAAACTTAAAGACTCTACCAGAACACTCTTATAACAACTGATAAACATTCAGTAAAATTGTAGGATACAAAAATCAGTGTACAAAGCGAGTTTCTGTAGTGTAGTGGTTATCATGTTCGCCTAACAAAAATCAACATATAAAAATTAGCATTACTCTGTACCAATAAGGAACTAGCTGGAAAAAAAACCAAGAAAGTGGCCGGGCACAGTAGCTCACTCCTATAATCCCAACACTTTGGCAGGGGCTGAGGCAGGTGGGTCACTTGAAGGCAGGAGTTCCTGACCAGCCTGACCAACATGGCAAAACCTCATCTCTAATTAAAATAACAAAAATTAACCACGCATGGCAGCGCTCACCTGTAATCCCAGTTACTAGGGGAGACCAAGGCAGAATTGCTTGAATCTGGCAGGTGGAGGTTGCAGTGAGCCGAGATTGTACCACTGCACTCTCCAGCCTGATGACAGAGAGAGTACATCTCAAAAAAGAAAAAGAAATCAAGAAAGCAATTCTGATGATAATAGCTACCAAAATAATAAGATTAGATACCTAGGAATAAATTTAACCAAGAAGGTGAAAGACCTCCACAAGGAAAACTACAAAACACTAATGTAAGAAATTGAAGGGCTGGGCGCAATGACTCACCTGTAATCTCAGCACTTTGGGAGGCCGAGGCAGGTGGGTCACAACATGGTGAAACCCCATCTCTACTAAAAATACAAAAATTAGCCAGGCATGGTGGCATGCACCTGTAATCCCAGCTACTTGGGAGGCTGAGGCAGAAAAATTGCTTGAACCCGGGAGGCAGAGGTTGCAGTGAGCTGAGATTGCACCACTGTACTGCACTTGCAACAGTGAAATTCCATCTCAAAAAAAAAAAAATTCCCAAAATTTATATGGAGGCTGGGCGCAGTGGCTCACACCTGTAATCCAAGCACTTTGGGAGGCTGAGGCAGGCAGATTGCCTGAAGTTGGGAGTTCAAGACGAGCCTGATCAACATGGAGAAACCCCATCTCTACTAAAAATACAAAATTAGGCAGGCGTGGTGGCACATGCCTGTAATCCTAGCTACTTGAGAGGCTGAAACAGGAGAATTGCTTGAACCCAGGAGATAGAGGTTGTAGTGAGCTGAGGTTGCACCATTGCACTCCAGACTGGGCAGCAAGAGTGAAACTTCGTCTCAGAAGAAAAAAAAAAAAAAAAAAATTCGTGTCGAACCAGAAAAGACCATGAATAGCCAAATCAATTATCAGCAAAAAGAACAAAGCTGGAGACATCATGATACCTGGCTTCAAAATATACTACAAAGCTATGGTAACCTAAACAGCATGGTATTGGTATAAAACATAGGATAATGGAACAGAATAAAGAACCCCAAAATAATTTCATGTATTTACAGCCAAATGATTTATTACAAAGGCACCAAGAACATACATTGAGGAAAGGATACCTTCTTCAATAAATGATGCTGGGGAAACTGGATATCCATATGCAGAAAAATGAGACTAGACCTCTGTCTCTCACTATATATAAAAATCAACTCAAGACAGGACAAGGTGGCTCATGCCTGTAATTCCAGCACTGTGGAGGCCAAGGCAGGCAGATCACAAGGTCAGGAGATTGAAACCACCCTGGCCAACATGCTGAAACTCCGTCTTTACTAAAAATACAAAAAATAGCTGGGCATGGTGGTGAACATCTGTTATCCTAGCTACTTGGGAGGCTGAGGCAGTAGAATTGCTTGAACCCAGGAGGCGGAGTTTGCAATGAGCTGAGATTCCGCCACTGCACTCCAGCCTGGACGACAGAGCTAGACTCCGTCTCAGGAAAAAAAAAAGAAAAAATCAAAATGGATTAAAGACTTAAATGTAAGACCTTGAAACTATGAAATTGCTAGAATTAAATATGGGGGGAAATGCTTTCAAACATTGGTCTAGACAGAGATTTTGGCAAAGACCTCAAAAGCACAGGGAACAAAACCAAAAATAAACAAATGGACTATATTAAACTAAAAAGCTTCTGCACAGCAAAGGAAATAATCAGAGTTGTAGGGACAACCTGTAGAATGGGAGAAAATATAATCTCATTAAAAAGCTGGCAAAGGATCTGAATAGACATTTCTCAAAAGAAGACATACAAGTGGACAATAGTTGTATGAAAGATGTTCAGCATCACTCATCATCAGGGAAATGCAAATCAAAATCACAGTGAGGTACCATCTTCTCCCAGTCAGCATGGCTATTATCAAAAAGACAATAACATGTAACTAGGATGCAAAGAAAAGGGAAAAGGGAACTCTTATACACTGTTGGTGGAATGTAAATTAGTATAGCCATTATGGAAACATTATGGAAGTTTCTCAAGACTAAAAATACAATTACCATATGATCCAGCAATCCCTCTAGTGGTATTTATCCAAAGGAAAAGAAATCAGTGTATCAAAAGGATATCAGCACTCCCATGTTTATTGCAGTACTGTTCACAACTGCTGAGGTATGGAGTTAGCCTAAGTGTCCATCAGTAGATAAACTGATAAAATACATTATATTTATATGTACACATACAATGGGATACTATTCAGCCATTAACAAAGTGAAATCCTGTCATTTGCAGCAACGTGGATGGAACTAGGGGATATTTATGTAAAGTGAAATAAGCCAGGCTCCAAAATATAGATAATGTATTTTCTCACTCATACATAGGAGCTAAAAAAGCTAACCTTGGGCCTGTAGAATGATAGTTATGGGAAAGGGCGTATGAAGAGTGGTTGGTTAATGGGTACAAACATACAATGTGATAGAAGGAATAAGTTCTGGAGTTCGATAGCACAGTAGGGTGATATGTTGTATATTTCAAAAGAGCTAGAAGAAAAGATAATGAAATGTTCCCAACACAAATAAATGATAGGCCGAGCGCAGTGGATCACTTGAGCCCAGGAGTTCCAGACCATCCTGGGCAACATGGTGAGACCCTGACTCTACTACAAATTTTTAAAAAGCAGCCAGGCATGGTGGCTTGCACCTGTGGTCTCAGATACTTGGGAGGCTGAGGTGGGTGGATTGCTTGAGCCCAGGAGTTTGAGGCTGCAGTGAGCTGTGATCATACCACTTCACTCAAGCCTGGGTGACAGATTGAGACCCTGTCTGGAAAAAAAAAAAAAAGAAATAATAAATATTCAAGGTGATAGATATACTAAGTACCCTGATGTGATCATCATACATTGAATGCATGTATCAATATCACCAGTACCCAATATATATGTACAAATAATATGTTTGGTTTTTGTTTTTTGAGACAGAGTCTGTCACTTAGGCTGGGGTGCAGTGGCATGATCACTGCAACCTCCGCCTCCAGGGTTCACGTGATTCTCCTGGCTCGTTCTCCTGAGTAGCTAGGACTATAGGTGT